GATTCGATACAAACAGTCCACGCCGGTGGCACCTCCCGCCGTGCAGCGCTGTCCGGCAAAATTTCTGCAGTCCTCCAAAGATCACCACCACCACCACCCGCACCACCACCCTCTCGTCACAGCGCCCTGCACGCATCGCCCTCTTTCATCGAGGCCACAACCTCGGGCAGAATACCACCGATTCGCGCTCCTGAGGCCGAGATGACTCCCAGACGGCCCACTACAGCTCCAGGACGACCCACGCTGGCCCCAAGGCGGCCCAAGACGGCCCCAGAGACCGTCGAGACGTCCCAAGAGAGCCCCGAGCGCCCTCTCAAGAATGCCTCGCGAGGCAAAAATCCGCCGACCACTTGGGGCCACGGCATGTGAGATGCTTCCCCCTCCCCAAACCCCTCCCCCCAGAGCCCGTTCCGGCCGGTTTAGAGCGGAGCGGGGAGCAAATGCGTCCCCAAAACAGGCCAAGAGACTCCCAAAAATGCCACCCGGACGGTCCCAGAGGGCTACGAGTCCCCGAGACATCGCTCCAAGACGCTCACGATTGCCTCCAGACGGCCCCAAAGGCCCACAAGACGCCCCAAGAAGCCACCAAGAGGCGTCCCAAGAGGCCCTCAAGAAGCAGAAGTCGTCCCATTCTTTTTGCAAAACGTACATTTTTCCCTACCTAGGCTCTGCCTAGAAGGGTTCTTACCGTGTTGGCTTAAAGGGCCGGGCAGTGTTCCACGCCCCGGGCGGTTCCCCCAGGATCCGCCCCGCGGTTCCCCCAGTGACGTTCCCTTAGCTTCGCTTTGCTTATCTCATCTTAGCTTAGCATATTTCATCTTAGCTTAGCTTAGCTTCATCTTAGCTCAGGTGTATCTTAGTTTAGCTTACCTTCATCTTAGCTTCGCTGAGCGTCAGCATAACAGAGCACAGCATAGCATAGCGTAGCATAGCACAGCGCAGCACAGCATATCACAGCATAGCCCAGCATAGCATAGCATAGCGTAGCACAGCACAGCACAGCATAGCACAGCGCAGCATAGCATAGCATCGCATAGCAGAGCATAGCATCGCATAGCAGAGCATAGCATAGCAGCAAAGCAAAGGCAAAGCAACAGCAGCGACAGCAAAGCAAAGCACAAGCAACGCAAAGCAAAGCAAAGCAAAAGCAAAAGCAAAGCAAAGGAAAGGCAAAGCAAAAACAAAACCAGTGCGAAAGTGTGGATGTAGATGTAGATGTAGGTGTAGGTGTAGGTGTAGGTGTAGGTGTAGGGTGTAGATGTAGATCTAGATGTAGATGTAGATGTAGATGTATATGTATATGTATATGTATATGTATATGTATATGTAGATGTAGATGTAGATGTAGATGTAGATGTAGATGTAGATGTAGATGTAGATGTAGATGTAGATGTAGATGTAGATGTAGATGTAGATGTAGATAGATGTAGATGTAGATGTAGATGTAGATGTAGATGTAGATGTAGATGTAGATGTAGATGCAGATGCAGATGCAGATGCAGATGCAGATGCAGATACAGATGCAGATGCAGATGCAGATGCAGATGCAGATGCAGATGCAGATGCAGATGCAGATGCAGATGTAGATGCAGATGCAGATGCAGATGCAGATGCAGATGCAGATGCAGATGCAGATGCAGATGCAGATGCAGATGCAGATGCAGGTGTAGGTGTAGGTGCAGGTGCAGGTGTAGGTGTAGGTGTAGGTGTAGGTGTAGGTGTAGGTGTAGGTGTAGGTGTAGGTGTAGGTGTAGGTGTAGGTGTAGGTGTAGGTGTAGGTGTAGGTGTAGGTGTAGGTGTAGCTGTAGCTGTAGCTGTAGCTGTAGCTGTAGCCTGCTGAGCTGTAGCTGTAGCTGTCGCTGTAGCTGTAGCTGTAGCGTAGGTAGCTGTAGCTGTCGCTGTAGATGTCAGATGTAGAGATGTAGATGTGATGTAGATGTGATGTAGATGTAGGTGTGTGTATGTAGATGTAGATGTAGATGTAGATGTAGATGTTAGATGTAATGTAGATTTAGAGTAGATGTAGATGTGATGTAGATGTAGAGTAGATGTAGATGTAGATGTAGATGTAGATGTAGCTGTAGCTGTAGCTGTACTGTAGCTATGTAGGTGTAGCGTAGCTGTAGAGCTGTAGCTGTATGTAGCTGTATGTGCTGTAGCTGATAGCTGTAGCTGTAGTGTACTGTAGTGTGTAGATGTAGATGTAGATGTAGATGTAGATGTAGAAGTAGATGTAGATGTAGAAGTAGATGTAGATGTAGATGTAGATGTAGATGTAGATGTAGATGTAGATGTAGATGTAGATGTAGATGTAGATGTAGATGTAGATGTAGATTGTAGATGTAGATGTAGATGTAGATGTAGATGTAGATGTAGATGTAGATGTAGATGTAGATGTAGATGTAGATGTAGATGTAGATGTAGATGTAGATGTAGATGTAGATGTAGATGTAGATGTAGATGTAGATGTAGATGTAGATGTAGATGTAGATGTAGATGTAGATGTAGATGTAGATGTAGATGTAGATGCAGATGCAGATGTAGATGTAGATGTAGATGTGGGTGTAACTGTAGGTGTAGATGTAGATGCAGATGTGAGTCTCGTTGTTGATGTTGACATGGATGTAGATGCAGATGTAGATGTTAGTATAGCTGTCGGTGTAGATGTAGATGTTGCTTTCCTAGATGCTCCAACTCCTAGGTAGGGTCGCACTGGGATAATTAGCACATTCGCGTTTTAGACGTTCACGAGGCCCACAACAGCTCCAGAAGCCTTCAAGATCGACCCCAGACAGCCCAAGAGGCCCCCAAGAGGGCCCCAAGACGGCCTATAGGACCCCAAGAGGGCCCCAGAAGCCACCAAGGTCGGCCCCAAGAGAGCCTCAAAATGGGCCAAGAGGGTCCCGCAAGGTTTCCTGGACATTCCAAGACGGCTACGAGCCATCGAGGCATCGCTCCAAGACGCTCACGATTGCCTCCAGACGGCCCAAGTGGCCCCAAATACGCTCCAAAAAGCGACCAGGAGGCGTCCCAAGAGGCCCTCAAGAAGCAAAAAAACGTCCCATTCTCGAGGGCAAGCGTATAGTTTCAGCACAATCGCCGCTTAGGCTTTCACGAGGCCCACAACGGGCCCAAGAAGCCTTCAAAATCGACCCAAGGCAGCCCGAGAGGCCCCCAATAAGGATCCAAGACGGCCCAAGAGGGCGCCAAGAGGGCCCAGGAGCGCCCGCAACCGTCCAGCCAGGAGGGCCCCAGGACGGCCCCAAGAGGGCCCCAGAATGGATCAAGAGGGTCCCACAAGATCCCCGACTGTCCAAGAGGGCTGCGACTCGTCAGTAGATCGCTCCAAGACGCCCGAGATACGCCCCGTGAAGCCACCAGGAGGCGTCCCAATCCACCCTCAGGAAGCATATGTTTAGAACATTCGCCTGTTGGCCGTGCAAGAGGCTCACAAGCCCAAGAAGCATCCAAGATCGACCCAAGATAGCCCCAGAGGCCCCCAAGAGGGCTTCAAGACGGCCCAGGGGTCGGCGGTGCGGCGTAAGCCAATGAATCAAAGATGTTCATCAAGGAGCCTTCCGCTCCAAGAGGCCCCCAGGAGGTCCCAAGAGGACCCAAAGAGGCCCACGAGAGGGCCCCAAGAGACAAAACTGGTTGATTTGCGGTGGGTTTTCAACGTGTTGGGGTTCTCGCCTTTTCGAGCTTCCGACGCTCTTACGGGGCCCCAGGGGCCCAAAAGGCTGCCTCAGAGGAGGCCAAGACAGCCACAAGACGGTCCCAACGAGTTCCATGAGGGCCCTTTTAACTAGTGAAAACGAAAGGTGTCACATGTGACGGCCTTCATCTTCCTCCTGCTCCTCCTCGTCCACGTCCTCATCCTTCACATCATCCCCATCATCCTCAGCCTCATCGTCACCGTCCTCCTCCTCCTCCTTCCCATCATCCGAATAACAAGAATCTGCATAAGTATCATCATCATCAGCATCATCATTATCACCATCATCAGGATCATCATCATCAGCACCAGCATCATCATCATCATCATCGGCAGCAGCATCAATATCATGATTAGCATCATCATCATTATTAGCAACAGCATCACCATCAGCAGCAGCATCGTCATCATCAACATCGTCTTCACCACCACCATCACTACCACCACAATCGTCATCGACATCGTCATCAGCATCACAATATTCATCACCATCTTCATCATCATCAGCATAATCAGCATCATCTTCAGCAGCAGCAGCATCAGCATCAACATCAGCACCATCATCATCAGCATCATCGTCATCATCACCATCACCATCACCATCACCAACCACCGCCACCGTCACCACCATCATCATCAGCATCACCATCACGGCTACCCAAAGCCTTTGGAGACGAGGTGTCACACGTGAAGGCCTCCCGTGCATCCTCGAATAGTCGCCACCCAGAATGTTGGGCTGGCACGGTGCCGGGACTTGCCGCAGGCAGCTGGATATGGCATCGATGACTCGTCATTAGGTCCATGACCATATTCGTCAACAAAAACCGATGAATCGTGAATCACCTCCGTGTCGACCCTGGCTATGCTCGTCCACATGATTTGCAACGTCGTTGACTCCAACATGACCACTGGCGCGAGCGCCCGACTGGGCACCACTGGAGACTTATACAAGGGCCGATTGGATATTTGCGTTTACCGAGGAGCATAACACTATTCGCGCGATGTACATCGAATGTGAGCTCAGAACGAGGAACGTCATATCCATTTTTGCGTACCACACATCCTCGAACATCGTCTTCCCCCTCGTTCTCATCCTCCTTCTCCTCATCATCATCAGCATCATCGTCACAAGCACCTCTCTCATTACTATGATGGACGTCGTCCTCCTCCTCCTTGAACTTCCGACGACGCCCGAAATCCAATACGTGGAGTGCCATCCCAGGCCATTCACCACTGTTGCACTCCAAGATTGGATCGACTAGAGAGCAGTCCAGGCCCGCCCTGCCAAAACAGGACAGGACGCCGAAAACCAGCGTCAGGTGCGTCCCGTCCTGTATCTTCTGCCAGGTGCCTCTCGGGCGCGAAGCGGGCACCGGACAAGCAGACAGTGGACAACCAGGCCGCGGACAAGCAACAAGGGGACATGACAATGCCGATTCGTTGAGGGGTGGGAGCGATGAGAACCTTCTTGTCTCCCGCGACCCAACCCTGGGCGGGCATCCGTGAATCCCCGGCGAGGGGAGAGGAAGCGTTAACCCAATTGTGTTCGAGAAAGCTGGCGGTTATAGGCGGGTGAGCAGGGTGCACTAGTAATGAGAATTACGGTGATGATTGATTGGCGCGGTGACACGCACAAGCTTTGATCATGTCGGCACCGACAAGCACGGCACCGCCGACGGGCAGCACGGTGCTCCCAGACAGCGCGGCGTTCGGGCACTTGGCGCCTGTCGCAGGTGCTGCAGCGCCCGCAGGCATCACACGCGATGCAGCCCTCGCAGCCACGTCGGCGACACTGCTGACGCCCCCATGGCAGGCGTTGCAGCAAGGGTCCAAATCATGTGTTGACATCCGCTGGCGCTTGGACACCAGCACTGCTCCTCTGAGGAGCGCAAATTCCACCATGGCGCCGGGCAACAGCTTTGGTTCCCCTTGGTTTCGGGATGGGGACGCTGCACTGATCTGGGATGGTGCAGCGGTCCGCTCGGACCTGGATATGGACCACGCGGCGGTCTCTCTGCTCGTCCTTGGCTGCAGAGGCGTAAAAGACTTGCGCATCGTTGTGGTCATGCCGTGTGCGGGAGCGCAAGACCTCCTCCTCCTCCTCCTCCTCCTCCTCCTCTTCCTCCTCCTCCTCCCCCTCCTAGTATTAGTATTATTATCATTATTACTATTATGATTATGATTATTATTATTATCACCATTACTATTAGTATTATCATTATTATTATTAGTAGTATTATGATTAGTATTATTATTACTACTACTACTACTACTACTACTACTACTACTACTACTACTACTAGTACTACTATTAGTATTGCTATTATTCTTAGTATGATTACTATTATTAGTAGTATTAGTAGTAGTAGTAGTAGTATTATTACTACTATTACCATTATTATTAGCATCGTAATTATTGAAAGAGCGTGTTCTACCGCTGCTGGCGGAAAACCGGGGGGGGGTCACTACCGGTTCGAACCCCTCCCCCCCCCCCCCCACGGAAAACCGGGGGGGTCACTACCGGTCGAACCCCTCCCCCCCCCCCCCCCCCAGCTCATCATGAAAAGGGGGGGGGATCACTACCGGTTCGACCCCCCCCCCCCTTCGAAAACCGAGTGGGGGTGCGGACAGAGGTGGGGACGGTGTTGGTGGGACAGTGGTGAGGGGACAGCGGGACAGTGGTGGGGACAGTGGGACAGTAGAGGGCCGGTAGTGGTGGGGACAGTGGTGGGGACAATGGTGGGAACAGGGGGGACAGTGGACAGTGGTGGGGACGGTGGTGGTGGGGACAGTGGTGTGGGCACAGTGGGAATGAGGTGGAAACAGTGGGACAGTGGAGGGTACAATGGTGGTGGGGACAGTGGTGAAGGCGGTGGCGAGGACGGCGGTGGGACAATGGGACAGAGGTACAGTGGGGACAGTGGTGGGGACAGTGGGGACAGTGGTGGGAACAGTGGGACAGCTCAGTGGGACAGCGGAGGAGTCAGTGGGACAGTGGGGACAGTGGGGATAGTCGGGCAGTGGTTGGGGCCGTGGAGACAGTGGGGAGAGTGGAACCGTGGTGGGAACAGTGGTGGGGACAGTGGGGACAGTGCGACAGTGGTGGGGGCACTGGTGGGGACACAGTGGGGACAGTGGTGGTGAGGACAGTGGTGGGGAACAACAGTGGAGGATGTGACGCGGACGGTGGTAGGGACCGGACGCTGGCGAATGGGATCGTTGCTGGCCGGGGGGGGTGTGGAGGGGTTCGAACCGGCGGTAGTGATCCCCTCCGGTTTTCGAAGTGGGGGGGGGGGGGGTCCGAACGGTGTGACCCCCCCCGGTTTTCCGGATCGGGAAAAAAGGGGGGGGGGAGGGTTCGAACCGTAGTGACCCCCCCCCGGTTTTCAAGGGGAGGGGGGGGGGGGGGAGGGTTAGGGGAGGGGGGGGGTTTTGCCGGGGGAGAGGGGGGGGGGGGGAGGGGTTCCAGCAGGGGGGGGGGGGAGTTTTCGGAGGGGGGGGGGGGCGACCCCGGGTTCCGGAGGAAAAGGTTGGCAATTTTCCACAGTAAAGCGGCGGTGGATCACGCTCTCTCTTATCATTATTAGTATTAGTATTATTATGTTGTTGTTAGTGTTGGTATTGTTGGTATTGTCTTTGTTACTATTATTTTATTCGTAGTAGTATTAGTTGTATTATTATTACTACTACTATTATTATTATTAGTAATGATTATATTAGTATTGATACTATTATTAGTATTATTTCATTAGTATTATTACGAGCGTTCTTCTTCTTAGTCTTCTGACTCGCATTATCCCTCTTCTTATTACTATCTGTGTTATTCTTATAATAAGTAATACTAGTACTATTATAATTAGTACTATTATTCGGACTCGTATTCTTAGTATTAATATGACAAATAGTATTATTATGCTTAGTAGTATTACTATGATTCATATTAGTATAAGTATCATTATTATTCGTAGCACTAGTAATAATATTATTAGTAGTAGTAGTAGTAGTATCAATATTATTATGCTGATCAGTATTACTATTGCTATTTTGATTATTATTATCCGTCTTCATATTATTCTTGTGATTCCTCCTCCTCCTCCTCCTCCTCCTCCTCCTTCTCCTCCTCCTCCCCCCCCTCTTCCTCCTCCTCCTCGTCCTCCTCCTCCTCGTCCTCCTCCTCCTCCACCCCCCCCTCTCCACCTACCCTTCCACCTCCCCCTTCCTCTCCCCCTGCCCCCCTCCCGTTCCCGCACCCGCTCCCGCCCCCCCTCCCCTTCCCCCTCGCCCTCCCCCTCCCCCCCCCCTACCCCCTCGCCCCCGCTCTCCTCCTCCTCATCCTCCCCTCCTCCTCCTCCTCCTCCTCGTCTCGTCCCTCCTCTTCGTCCTCTCCTCTCTCCTCCGTCCTCTCCTCCTCCTCCTCCTCCTCTCCTCCTCCTCCCATACACATCATCATCCCCTCCTCCTCCTCCTCCTCCTCCACCTCGTCCCTCCTCCTCCTCCTCCTCCTCCTCCTCTCCTCCTCCTCCTCCTCCTCCTCCTCCTCCTCATCCTCCCCCCCCCCTCCTTCCTCCACCCCCTCCTCCTCCTCCTCCTCCTCCTCCTCCTCCTCCTCCTCCTCCTCCTCTTCCTCCTTTTTCCTCCTCCTCCCCCATCGTCATCATCAGCACCATCTTCATCATCAACAGCATCACCATCATCATCGTTTACCAACAGATTGATGATTAGTCGAATTGCGCGTATCATTCGTAATGCCCTTAAACTAGTACTATGATTGGTCGTACTAGTATAAGTAATCGTGTTACGATCATGGTAGTATGCGTATTATCATTATTATTTGAAAGGTTTGTACTAATGGTGTCATTCACTTTATTGGAAGTAGAATTGTTTGTAATATGGGTATAACGACTGATATTAATAGTGTTGTAAGTCTTCGTAATAGTAGTCGCATAATGGTTAATGTTATTATTGGTATGCTACGACATCGGATATGGCTGAGTATCCACATTATGTATAGTTGTTCGTAATGTTACTAATTGAATGATAGTGAGCGCACTGTATTCGCATGTGCAGGTTCATTCGCGTTCGCATTCGTATTACTCGTGTTCGTATCACTAGTCGTGGGATCCGTCCTATCATTATTCATATGATCAGTATTCGTATGACCAGCCCTTCTTGCTATGCTTTGAGATCTTATGAATGTGATGCATAGTACGAGCCCCTGGTTTCAATGGATATTAAGTATGTTTGGTGTTGTGATTGTCAGTATCATGATTCGTCTCAGGATCATTCGTATCATTCCTATAGGTATGCGAAGTAAGCCCCACTAACAGATAATCAATTAACCCCTCCCGCCCCGTTGAGACTGAGCGTTGGCTATGCACGACCAGTGCTGTCTTAGTCAGGAAAGCGAGGCGGCAAGGCCGAATGTTGCATCGCGGCGGAACGCTGCGAATCGAACTTGCTCCCACCCTATGTTGAGTAGCAAGCATTCCTAGACTTCCGATGCATGTCCTCTAGAATCCGATGGATGCCCTGGGGAACCCTGTGGATGTCTGATGGGCCCCAGTGGATTCCCGAAGGGATCCGAAGAGTCCGAAGGGATCCTGAGAATCCCACCAGCCGTCTGGGCGCAGGTAGTCTAAGGCGCTCCCTATTTACAACATCATGCCTTTCTCTGTTCGGGAGGTTTACCTCCCCCCCCCCCCCCGCGCCTGGACGCCCCCCCCCCCCCGCGAGGTGGCAGAGGGCCCTTTTTGGTCCAAGATGGCACCAGGGGGGCTTCAGAGAGCGCAAGAGGGCCTCCAAGATGGTCGAAGATAGCGGTAGATGGGCAAGATAGCCTCCGACGCACGTCCAAGAGGCCTCAAGACGGCCCCAAGACGGCATTCAAGTGCCCACCGAGGCCTCCAAGGACCCACACACACACACAATAAAAAAGAGAGAGAGAGAGGGAGGGAGAGAGAGAGAGGGAGAGAGAGAGAGAGAGAGGGAGAGAGAGAGAGAGAGAGAAAAAAAAAAAGAGAGAGGGAGAGAGAGAAGCCAACATCTCTCGAAAACATAAGAAAAATCCATGCGCGTGGTTTGCCTTCTCGCTTGTTCGCCTCCGACGGGCTCTCGGGACCTCAAGATGGCCCCAAGATGGCCCAAGATAACTCCATGAGGGGTCCAAGAGGACCCCGAGACGGCCCCAAGAGCGCCCAAGAGCGCTCCAAGAGCGGGCCAAGAGGGCCCCAAGAGAACAGTTTGAGCCTCCGAGGGGGGCGCTCCGAATTAGAACCCCCCACTTGTTTTCCCCACATCCTGAGTGGGGTTCTTGTTTTCCCAGAACACCCTCTCCTTCCCACCCACCTCCCG